GGGGCGGCAAAGGCGCAAAGGCCCAAATCTGTCAAAAGAAAGTCAAGTACCTTAGCTTTCACCTCTCCCAGGGGCAGTGCCAACTCGGCCCAGAGAAAACACAGGCCGTTTGTTTGATCCTGGTCCTGTTGACCTGACATTAGGTTCGGGAGTTTTTCAGGGCTGCAGGTTTCTGTAGAATCCAGATACCTAACTTCTCAGTCTTGGCAAAACCTCTTTATGAGGCCACAGAGCAGGGAGGGCAGGAACCTCTAATTATGGGAGCAAGCACAGCAAAAGGCCTTTGAAGAGATCAAATGGGCCCTCACCAACGTGCCTGGTCTGGGGCTTCCAGACATGTCCAAGCCCTTCTTCTTGTACGTTCATGAATGTACTGGCATCACGTGAGAGTCCTAACCCAGATGTTGAGGTCCTGGCATTGTCCGGTGGCATATCTCTCCAAACAGCTTGAGTCTGTTGCCCAAGGCTGGCCACACTGCTATAGGCACTTGCAGCCATGGCCCCCTTAGTGTCTGAGGCTGACAAGTTAACTATGGGATAAGAATTGACTGTCTGAGTGCCACATTCAGTATTGACGTTAATGGAGTACTGACTAACCAATGCCAGGATGGTCAGATATCAGGGAATGAATGCTATGTGAGAACCCATGCATTCACCTAGAAGTAGTGTGGACCCTAAACTCTGCAACCCTACTGCCTGTTGGGCCAGATCAACCAGATTATGACTGCATTGAAATCATGAATGAGGCGTTCTCCAGCAGACCAGACTTGAGGGACCAGCCCCTCAAGGACCCCGACACTGAGTATTTCACTGACAGTAGCAGCTTTGTGAAAGAGGGAGAATGCCTTGTGGGGTACTCTGTGGTGACCCTGAATTCTATCATTGAGGCCAAATCCCTGCCAAAGAGGACTTTGGCATAGAAGGCAGAGCTCATCACATTAACCCGAGCTCTCCAACTGGTGGCAGGGATAGGTGTTAATATATATACAGACTCTAAGTATGCCTTCACCACCCTCCACGTACATGGGGCTTTATATAAAGAGAAGGGTCTAATAAACTCAGGAGGAAAAGACATAAAGTATGGTAAGGAAATCCTTGAACTCTTACATGCTGTGTGGGCCCCTAAAGAGTGACAGTCATGCATTGTTGGGGACATCATGGCTGCACAGGGAAACCGTAAAGCAGACCGAGAGGCAAAGCTTGCAGGTTCCAAAGGACAGCAGAATCTGCGACTTTAATGGCCACACTGTTCCCTAGTCCACTGGCAAAATGGGACCCTAATGACACAACATGAGAATACCTGGTTTAAGACTGAAAATGGAAGCTACCTCCCAGGTGGATGGTAGAAATTTGAAGACGGCCAAGTTGGCAATTCCTGAGGCCCTGGCCCAAGCTTTTGTCAAGAAGTTCCATCAGGACACTATGCTGGCCAGACAGCTCTCAAGACTACATTGAGCCAACATTTCTACATCCCTCGACTGTCCAGCATAGCCTGAGCAGTATGCGAGCAATGTGAAATGTGTGCCCGGAATAACCCACGTCAGGGACTCAAGGCTGCCCTTGGGGTGCAGAGTGTTGGGGGAGCCCCATTTGAAAATATGATGGTGGACTTCACTGATCTTCCCTGGGTCTGAGGCTATAAATATCTGTTGGTCTTTGTGTGTACTTTCTCAGGCTGGGTGGAATCCTTCCCTGCTCACATAGAAAAGGCACAGAAAGTGGCCCAACTTCTTCTAAAAATATCATTCCTCTATTTGGAATCCCTATCACTATGGGATCAGATAATGGGCCAGCATTCACGGCTGAGGTGATGTGGCTAGTGGCAAAGGGGTTAAAGATTACCTAGAAATTACATACAGAATACCAACCCCTGAGCTTTGGGAAGATGGAACGAATGAACCGAACCCTGAAGCTGCAATTGAGTAAACTATGTCAGGAAACAAGGTATTGCCATCACCTTGTTAAGAATCAGGTGTAGCCCCACTAAGCAGATGACATTCTCCCATTAAGAAATCCATTCTGGGTGCCCTCCCTCCATTATCAAGGGCATAAGTGGGGGTCTAAATTAGATAGGCAGTTTAACCCTGAGGCAACAGATGTGGGCCCTTGGCTCTACCCTAACCACCTTACACCACTGGGTTGGGGAGGGATTACCTATGAGTCTGGTCACAGACGCTCACCCCTTTAAACCAGGAGATGCTGTATGGGTGAAGGAGTGGAATGTCCAACCCCTAAAACCCTCCTGAAGGGCCCATTCACTGTCACCTAGTGCAGTAAAGGTAGCCGAGGTGGGTCCCTGGATTCACCACAGCACAGTGAAGGCAGCATCTCAAAACTGGGAGTACATTCCTGATCCATCAACACCGTGCAAGCTGACCATATGGAGGGAGCAATCTGCAACTCCAGAGGCTCTGGGACACTACAGCCCTGCTTTAGTCACTCTAGAAGCTGACTAATCTATGCATGGCAGAACCCTGAGGAATCGATGGTCTGGTGGGACAAATCCACTGTCCTTATTTTCTATATCTGTTTCCTTACTGGGATGCACTGTCACCCTTGTTTCTTGCTATTACTGTGATTCTTGCTTTACTTTTTGCCATAGGACTGGCAGTGGCTGCCCGGCTGGCTGCATGTGTGGTGAGAGGTTTCTGTTAGCGCCACCTTCCCTTTGTGGAGAGGATGCTTCATTGGTATTGGTTGCTTCTAATCTGGACCCCTTCTGTAGACCTAGATCCCTCATCATGTGACCCATGTATTCATATAACCAGGTCAGGCCAGAGAGTCACTTGGACTTTACCATACCCACTTCTCATGCCAGGGAAAAGGCCTGGGGACCTGCAGACATAAGACCACCTATTCTATCTGCCAATGGGGGAGTCAATAACACTTGCTTCACCCCACAGTACTCCCCCAGTGAAGATTGGTTAGAAGTCTGATCCTACCAAGGTTCCAGAGGGGGAGGGGAGGACTTGGTCAGCTGGACACAAATTACTAACCCAAAAAGACCAGTGTCAATGTTGTTAGACGTATGTGTTGTTATAGGTATTGGCGCAGAGGCATCTGTCATAAGAAAAAAGTGGGCACTTGTCACAGAGGGCCCAAAAACTCTTTATATACCATGTGGAGGCTTAGACTGGGAGTGGGTTTACTGACTCAATGACAAATGCATGTGTGAGGAAAATGGTTTATGTGCCTATACACCTGAGTTTTTATGCCCCAGCTGGAGCTGTGTTTCATGGGCTACTTGGAAAAAAGAAAGCACAACAGTGCTCCTTCAGAAGGGGGCAGCTACATCAGGTTGTCAATCAAAGGTCTGTAATCCTGTTAATTTTACCATCATTAACCCAGGAGATTCCAAATGGCAATGGGGCACCTGAATTGGCATCCGGATCCCTGGGGGAGGCAGAGACCCAGGGACTGTGCTATATTTCAAGAGAGTCACTACCGCCCATCCAACCATGTCCCATCAAGTCTTCCACTCCTTCTATGAAGAAATAAGAAGTAGCCCCACTCCCATTTCAGTCACAGCAAGGAACTTGTTTCTAGCCCTAGCAGAGACTATAGCCCAGACTCTGAAGATCTCTTATTGCCATGTATGCGTGGGAACCAACATGGGAGATCAATGACCATGGGAGGCTAGAGAATTAGATCCCCGCAAACCTTCTAATGGAACAGAATAATCCAGTCCTACCAGGGTTTGGCTCTTCAAAACCTCAATTATTGAGACAAACTGCCTTTCCTGGTGGGGAAGAAAGTTCACCATCTCTGTTGGAAGCTTCACGTGTCTAGGCCAAAGATTTTATAACTCAACCCCCCCGGGAAACACAATGGTGGGGATCCCCAGATCACCTTGAGTCAGACAGATCCCCACCCCCTTGTCTAACTTCTCTCATCTCCAAGAGGCCTGGGACAATGTCAATGCAGCCATTGAATGGCGGGCCCCAGGTTGACTATACTGGATATGTGGAAGGATAGCCTATATAGTACTCCCCTCAGGCTGGTCAGGGTCATGTGTGCTGGGAACCTTTCATCCACCTTTCTACCTGCTCCCCCTCGCCAGAGGGGAGGATTTGGGAGTCCAAGTGTATGGGGACAGGGAGACTCAAAGGAAATGACGTGCCCTACAAATTGGCAATTGGAAAGATGATAAATGGCCTCCCAAGTGTATAATCCAATATTATGGCCCTGCCACCTAGCAGAGGATGGGTTAGGAGGGGTTAGAGGATGGGGTAGGATTGCTACCGCAATCCCATTTACATGTTAAACCACATAATCAGACTGCAAGCAGTTGTAGAAATTATAACCAATGAAAGTGCCAGAGCTCTTAACTTACTAGCCAAGCAGCAAACCAAAATGCACGATGCTATCTATCAAAATCACTTGGCCTTAGATTACTTGCTTCCTTCTGGGGGAGGAGTTTGTGGGAAGTTTAACCTGAGCAACTGCTGCCTACAGATAGATGATGAAGGAAAAGTCATAAAGGAGATCTTAGATCGAACGAGAAATGTTGCTTGTGCCAGTCCAGACCCGGAAAGGTTGAGACCCTGGGGAGTTATTTGGAGGAGGGTTTTCAACTCTCTGGGGGATTCAAAACCCACCTAAGTATTATCTTCTTGATTTGGGGAGCTTGCTTAATCCTACCTTGCTTAGGTCCCCGGCTTATACAGTCTGTCTCCAACCTCACTGAGGCGATAGTCAAAAGGGAAATGGCCACACGTGATGATGTTATGGAAGTATAAACCTCTAAACCAAGATGATGCTCTTTGACCCAAAATAGGGGGTCCAAGCATCAAAGGGGGGAATGTGGTAGAGCTTCTCCCTAAGGAATGTGGTAAAAACCTCAAGACAAGGGAAGGCAACCTGGCTATGTGCAAGTGCGCGACCTTCCTCACAACTCTGCAATGTAGACCACTCATTCAGATGTATGTTACCACATATGGGAGACAAAGGAGCAAAATTGTACAAAAGGCAGCCCACCCCCCCCCCCCTGCTATGCTCAGGGCTCAGCCTTTTGGGGTCTTAGCCCACTGAGCCCGTGCTGGCACGAATAAAGTTGCTTCCTGGAAAGAAAAGCCTCAATGTCCCAATTCCCTGTGTTTGACACACTGCTACACTGAGATGGAATGATGGACCGGTATACGGACAGGCACCTGCTGCTAACATTCAGTGACAGCAGGCGCCCTACAGTGTTAGGTCAGTTGCTGAGAGGAATAAGTCACCTATTAACTTCTAATAATAATGGCTATTTCACACTGCATGTGTATCCAGTAATTGCAAAGTTAACCCATCGTGTTGCTTGGGGATCTATTCCAAATGTCAACATACAATGGTTCGTACCTGGCACATAGTAGGGATATAACATCAGTCAAACATAAATCTAAACTGAGGCTCTAAAACTGTTCCCAGCCTTTGGGATCTGAATGTTTGCAATTAGAGCTGGCATTGCCTGTGCTTCTGTTAATTTGAGTGATATTCTCGCCTGGTAGGCGAAATGTTGTGAATTTAAGGGTGTGACCCAAGACCTGATGGAGAACTGTTTCTTTTTTTTTTTTTTAATTTTTTTTTTCAACGTTTATTTTTTTTGGGACAGAGAGAGACAGAACATGAACGGGGGAGGGGCAGAGAGAGAGGGAGACACAGAATCGGAAACAGGCTCCAGGCTCTGAGCCATCACGGACCGCGAGATCGTGACCTGGCTGAAGTCGGACGCTTAACTGACTGCGCCACCCAGGTGCCCCTGAGAACTGTTTCTTTTAACCTTAGGCTTGTGCAATGCCAATAAGGATAAACAAAAACATTGGATTTGATTGCAGTCTTTTGTATTCATGATGGGGGAAGAAAAGGCCAGTGAGTTGGGGAGAAAAACAATGAACTGAATTAGTTGGTTCTATCAGAGCAGCTGATAAGACTGTGTTACTCCAAGCTCTGTGTTGCCTGGGGCCCTCCAGTTTGGGCCACCCTGAGTCGGCTACACAGGGCTAAGGATTGCATTAGTTTCCTAATGCTGCTGTAACAAGTTACACAACTTGTTGGCTTAAAACAAAACACATTTATTCTCTTACAATTCTGAAGGAATTGTAAGCACTCCAAAATCAGTCTTACTGGGCTAAAATAGAGGTATATACAAAGCTGGTTCCTTCTGGAATTTCTGAGGAGTGAACTGGTTTCCCTGCCTTTTTCAGCATCTGATGGCTGTGTGTATTCCTTGGCTTTGGGCCCCTTCTTTCATCTTCAAAACACATCACCCAGTCTCTGCTGCCCTCTTCACACTGCCTTCTGCTCTAATAAGGACCCTTGTGATTACATCAGACCCATTCAGATAATCCAAAATAATCTCCCACATTGCAAGATATTTAAATTAATCACACCTGCTAGGTCCTTTTTGTCCTATCGGGTAACATATTTCCAGGTTCTGGGGATTAGCACATGGACATCTTGGAGGACCTTTGTCAACTTACCTCAAGATTTATCCACAAGTCTAACTGATAGACTTCCTGTTTAAATAAGACGATGCAAATTTCGGATCAAAACCAAATATTGAACTAACAAATGCCCTTTTAAGTGTAAATAAGGCATGTTGCTTTGATTCTCTCAGCCAGCAGTTTCTCGACCTATTTTTCTTCCACAGGACAAGGTAGTGTGCCTGAATTTCTCATCAATAAAGATTACTCACTCTGCATCTCCACAATATTCTGTGGCTGAGAACCACTGTTTTTAGCCCTTTAGAGGTCCACAGAGAATGCTGGGATTAGTAATTTCCTAACTTTTGCTGTGAGGATTCTCTCCTGGTCCCCTTTGTGGTCCCCTGTTGACCTGAGTACGTGCATTTATTAGCAATCACGCTTAACAAACTCTGAGGGAATTTATTTACCTTTATCAGCATGAAAATGTCCCCACATCCTGCATTCTCCTGGCTGGCTTCGTTTCCTTTCTCAAGCTCAGCCAACGCAAAATAAAATCAGCTCCTAGGTTTTTACGGTGTGTAAGTTGTGTTCATCAGGTCTATCATTGCCTGTGGGTGGGTGAAAATTGGGAGCAAGGGGATGGTGGGCTGGGATTCATTCCCCCGGTTTGTCTGGCTTGATTCATTCCCCCGGTTTGTCTGGCTCCTGATGTCATCACAAAGACCAGCATTCTATTATATTCCCTATATTAGACAGGGGCAGACTGCCAGCTGGGAGCAGCTAGCCCTCTGCCCCTGTGATAGAGCCAAGTAAAGTTTGACTTGCCAATCTCGTGCCTCATCAGAACATCCATGGGCAGAGACTTTCTCTACTTAATTAGAATCTGTCTTAGTGGATGTGCCAGGCCCTGGGAGCCCAACGATGTTCCTACACAGCAGTTTCTTTCTCTCCCTCTTTTTTTAGTTTGGCACCACCTTGTCAACAGGTGCGATCAACAGTAAGGAAACATGCGGTGCCAGTGCTCCCATTCTGGTCCAGCATGAGAACCCACTACTGGAAAGATGGCACTCACAGCATTAGGCAGGCTGCCATGAAATCGTCCTTCCTTGGCACCGGTGCCCATGGTGAGCGTCTAGGCAACTTTTGATTGGGCACCACGCCCTCCAAACAGATGGGCATGAATGTAGGCAGGCAAGAGACCATTTATTTATATCAGCTGTATTTGCTGAGGGCAGGGTTCCCAGCTGGGAACATCAAAACAGCTCTTTGTCCTGGCCGTCTGCAGCTCTGATGGAGGTGAGGCAGCCTCGCAAATTCAGCAGGATTAATTTTGAAAAATAAGAACAATGTTTCTATGGACACCAGGGGACATTTTTGGCTCTCTTCAATGGTTCAGAACACAGAGCAGGCTGGGCCCAAGTCATTTTAATAAAATCTCCCATCCCTGTTTGGATTGGATGGGAAAAAGCCAAGAAAGCTTTCCAAATCGGGCCAAATGTAGGTGAACAGAGTTAGCCCCACATGGAAGCCTGCTTTGTGAGTCCTTTTACATACAATGGCAATGGCTTCCAAAGAAAATTAAGCTGAAGTCACCCAGACTCAGGCATTAGGAAAGGCATTCTGGTTGAGCTCACCACTGCACTGTTGTTCTAGGCATCCATTAACCTTCTTGTTGTCCCTCCTGTAAATGATGAATGGGATCAAGTGTGAGCTGAAAATGCAAGGGTGGACATTAGGGCTGACCTTCATAAAAGCCTCACTTGGCTTTGAGGGTAAACAGATAAATAAACAAGAATTATTATCTGCGTTTAAACATCTGAGAAATTGCAGTGTCTGAAGAGTATAACTTTATCAATGTTAGTATTAACTACTAAAAAATATTGCTTGTTTACAGTGCACCTGGCATTGTCTCAAGCACTTTACATGAAATCTGTCAATTCATTTTCCCAATAACCCGAGAGAGGTGGGTACTATTATTAGTATCATTACACAGCTGAGCACACTTAAGCTTAGAGAGATTTTCCCGAAGTCGTCACACAGCTACTGACTGACATAACCAGGGTACAAACCCAGAACTGCCTGACAATAGACCCCACGGTTACACCCCACTTCCTCCAGAAACACCGAGAGAGGCCAATCTGTTCAGCAATCGGCTTACCTAATTTAGGGATGTCTCTTACAATAATAGCAGTTTAGGTCAGTTTTTCTCCAACTTCAGCGTGCCTGCAAATCACCTGAAGATTTTGCTAATACACAGATTCTGTTCAGTAGACCGGGTGCAACAGATCTAGCTGATTCAGTACATTTCTGAATTTCTAACAAGCCCATGAGGCTGGCACCCAGCTACACAGAGTGGCAAGGTTTCAGGTTGGGGCACGCTGAGCCTCGACCTTGGCTACGCATCGAAATGACCTGAGGAGCTTTTAAAAATACCAAATGCCCACAATGCACCCCCCAGAGATTCTGATTTAATCGCTTGACAACCATTGGGTGAGCAATTCTCTTACTCACCAGCATTTCATTGTTTATTTGAGATGGGAATGATGAATTGTAAAAGGCCCTTGGCTGCATTCCTTAGAGGTGGAAAATAAGACAATAGATGAAGATGTGGTGCTCTCAGTCCTAGTCAGTTCCTTTTCCCGATACTGATTATTTATAACAATCTTGGAGGTGGGTGATGGGTAGACCTGTTACTCACACAGTGGTCTTTAACGTGAACAGCTGGAGCGAGAACAGCCTGAGAGCAGCAGCACTGCTACCATCGTTTAAGAGCAGAGTATGACGAAATGTGCGATGATGGAGGTGACAAGGAATTACAATCAGAAACATCATCCTTCTACGGCATAGGTTTTGTTGATTGTCATTTTTTTGGTTGAGAGGATCTGAATATGGAAAACCTGGGGCCACTAAAATCCTAACTATGTCGAAACTTTAATCAATTACACGTAACAAGCAACGTATGGATCAGGTGTTCAATGATTGCATTTATTAAGAAGGAGCAATTGATTCCATGTTGGTGGATATGTGGCCATGGCTCTTTTTGGGGTTTCCTGAGAAGTGTGATCAAACCAAAAGGACTACAGATTATTAAATCCAAATCAGTGTTGGTGCTGGCAAAAGCAAAGCGTTCAGTGAGGGGGGAGAATAGTATCCTCTTTTCAGAAGATCTCAGCTTCATGTATTATTGATGCAAAGATGATCAGATAAAAACTGGAACTTGGCAAGCTGTCAAATAAAAAATGCAGAGTGAATCAAAAATTTATAAAACAGTATTGAGTTATTACAATTCTATTATAGACACCAGTAATCATTTTTACTGAAACAAACCTCTTATATGACTGTACAGCTGGGATGTTAGGATACAAGGATTTAGGACTTGACCTCATTTGGGGTGAGAATATCGCAAAATTAAAAATTAAATACGAAGAGTAAATGATTTAGTCATAGTTCAGTAGCAGATTGAATAAAAACAATAGAGTTCTTAAAAAATAATGGCAGTGTTTTCCTTCTTGGGCTACATTTTGCTGACTTCCTTGAAAAATTACTGGCATTAGATTCAGAGCAGGATGAATTGCTTTACAGGATCTGTAAACTTAATTTGTGCATGTGCCAAGCACGCGCACAATGCCAAGACACTGGGGAGGAAAAATGACTTGGTGAGATATTTTGTCACTTATGGATTTTCTTTTATAGAAAAAAAAATCCCACCACTATAGTTTTATTAGCTATCTCCTCTTGTATAGGAGCCTTCTTCCTCCCTTCCTGGGACTGAAGCCCCGACAATGCCAGAAATATATTCAAGAATGGAGAGAGACGGCTGTCACCATTCCCAAATATTCAGAAGATAATTGCCAACCAAAGTTAGAGCATCTTGACATAAAACATCCCTTTCACTCCCAAGCCAATTTGCCTATCCAAATCAAATAAACAGCTATAATTATAAAATCACACATACTGATACGTAGTCAGCATTAGGAAAATGACACCGAAAACGTTTGACAGCGAGGCCTGCTTTCTGTCCTTGGCTTTTTCTCAGTGCCTGGGCAGAGAACAAAGAGGATCTCTTGGAACTGAAAATGACTCAAAAGCAAGGTAAGTGTAGAGCAATGAGAAGCATCAGCCCTGGGTTTTCCTGCTTTGGGGCTGAAACTTAACATTGTTATTATTATTTGAAAATGAGATAACTTTGTCTTTAAGGAACAGAACTGATTCCACTTAAATGGACTTTCATCAAGAGGCAGAAAGGAGGAAATGCTTTGCTTAAGCAGACACAGAGCCGACCTACCCCGTGACATGACCCACTTCAGTTCCACTGGGGATAAGAGTGTATGGTCAACTTTCATTGGACTTTGAAAGGCAAAACCTTCATGTGTGAATTACATATTGGCCAATTAGTCTTAATATTACAGGCTGAACACTTTACCTAAAGTGCCGACGTCAGGAATACCTGCGGGATTCATCAATCCCTATGCATAAAAGAGCACAAAAAAACTCAGCTTCTCTGCTATGACCTATGAATTATGTTGAATCATTATTTTTTGACTTGATGTTTCATTCATGTCACCGTGGCTGTTTTCAAGAACGTAAGGAAAATGCAAACGCAGGGAGAATTTTTGTTTCCCACTGAGAACCAACTTTAAAAGGTTCCTATGACACTTGCATTTGTTTTGGGTAACTGGTTACATGCTCTGTTGTGTTCATCTTCCCAGGATTAGGGGTTAATGATGCAGTGTTGGCCCTCCCAGTCACTAGGCTGGGGAACGCAGCACAAACCAGAGGAGGGCTGGGAAGCCAGTGGGCTGTGACATCTCAGAATGAGAACAAACTCACTGTTGAAATAGGCTTGTGTGTGTGGTGTGGTATGTGCCCTGCCTCAGGGTCCGGTCAGGAAGGCAGAAACTGCACCAAGTATTTCACACAAAAGGGATTTAGTACAAGCACTTGGGTCCATGGCTGTAAGTAAGGGGCACAGGTTCTTATGGACAAAGTATAAATAAAAATCTCCAGGGCAAAATGCTTTCAAACTGCACACAGGAGTTCGGTCAGCTCAGCCAAACACCCTGATTCGAACTACATTCCAGCCATTTGGATCGCCCGACTTGCTTCTGTTGGGAAGTATAAAATCTCTCCTCATTTCCTGTCGTCAATTGCAGCATGGAGTAGCTGAAAAGTGTTCAAGCAATTACTGGGCTTCACCAACTGGGTGCCTCTGGCCATAAGGGGCCTTTTGGGTTTGCAATAGCTCCGCTGTCATTTCCCTTCCTTGGCTGATCCTGGTACAAATTGCTGATGGCTCCAAGAGTGTGTCCTCTTGCTCACTGGAGGGGAAGTCAGGTTCCTACAAAAATGCTCTTTGCTTTTAGATGTGTGTGGTGCTGGTGGGGGTGGAAGGGTGGTGGTGGGGGAGGCTGGGGACAGAGGAGATCGCTCACCCACAATGCTAATCAAACCACCACTGTTGGTTCTGCTTCCTAATTATCTCTTAAAGTCATCCCCTTCCCTATTCCCATGAATGTTCCCACTATGTTCCTTCAGGCCATTTCATTGCTCAGCTTAAATTTCACAACAACCTCTTAACTGGTTCCTCTGCCTTCCACACAGACTTCTTCCTATCCACAGTTCTCCAGTGCAGTGATTCTCAACCAGGGGCAAACTGCTCTACCCCCACCCTTGCCCCCAGCAGCAGCAGCAGACATTTGGAAATGTGTGAGAGCCATTGGGATTGTCACATAACTGGGGGCAGGGGGTGGGGGGCCATGCTGTCATTAAAGGAATAGGAGCCAGGGAGGCTGCATTATCTAGTGTTCTCATTTCCTACTGCTCGGGTAGTGAAGTACCACAGATTCAGCAGCTTAAAGCAACATCCATTTATTACTGCAAAAGTTATGTAGGTCAGAAGTCTGACAGAGGTCTAACTGGGCTCAAATCAAGGTTTCGGAAGGGCTGCACTCCTTAATGGAAGCGAGCTCCTCTTCCAAGCTCAGTAAAGTTGTTGGCAGAATTCAGTTCCGTGGGATTGTAGAACTGAAGTGGCAGTTTCCTTGCTGGCTATCAGCAGAGATCATTCAAGCTTTTAGGGTCTCCCATACTTCTTGGTTCATTTCTCCCTTCATCTTCAAAGAAAGTAATGGTGGATTGAATACTTTTCATGCCTTGCGTCTCCTACCACATCTTTCCCTGATTCTTCTGTCCTCCTCTTCCCTTCTAAGGGCCCATGTGATCAGATGGGGCCCGCCCAATCTAGGTAACCCAGGATAGCCTCCTTATTTTAAAACCCATAACTTGAATACTATCCATAAAGTCCCTTTTGCCATGTACTATAACTTGTTCATAAGTTCTGGGAATTGGCACATGGGTATCTTTGGGAAGCCAGTAATCTGCAACCACAGCTGGAATGATCTCCATAGTAGAGAATTGTTCCACCCAAAATGCCACTAGCAGCCTCTTTGAAAAATATGGAGTGGGTGATTTTCCTAAAATGCAAATCTAATTTGTCTCTTTCTTGCTTTGAACTCCTTCAGGGAATCCTCATTGCCCTCAAGACAAAATCCAGGACAGAGCTTTAGCATGCCTACCAGAGAGTTCTCTACGATCGGGCATCTCTTCAACCCTAGTTCACAAAGGGCTCCGCCTCTGTCTCACGGCTCCGGCCACAGTGAATAATTTTTGACCATCCTGTGTTCTCTTACCTCTCATTCTTTGGGTAGGCTCTTTCCTCCATCTGGGATGCTCCTCCCTTTAACTCTCACCCACTTCCTTTAACCTAATTCCAATTCAACTTTCAGATCTTACTTTAGACCTTATTTCCTCATGAAAGCCTTCCATGACCCTGCAAGCCTGTGTGAGGCAACACTCCTACATGCTCCCATAGCACCCACATGCCCATCCATACCATTTATCACAGGGCTTTGTAATATCTGGCCTGTTTATCATTCCTTCATCAACTCTAAGCTCTGAGAAGACAGGGATAGCGTCTGTCCTGTTTGTTGTTGTATCCATAGCACTTAGCTCACATCTGCCATATACTTATCTTCAATACATATTTATTCATTAAATAAAATTACTTGGTCATGTTTACTTTGATATAAAAGATACAGTAAATTTGGTTCCAACCCTTCTCTAATAGACATAATCATAGCAAAGTTATGTTCCAAACTTTTACAGACAGCATTTCATCTGAACTCCATATCTGCATGAAACTATGATTATTATTATTAAATTGGTGGTACAGAGGAGGAGATCCAAACTCAGGGGGGATAAATAATTCCTCATAAAATTATGTGGCCCACAAGTGGCTAAACTAGGACCCAAGTCTGATTTCTGATTCCCAAGCCAATACCACGGTACCTTTCTACAGCAACAAGTAGCATCTCATAGTTTATAAAGCACCATATCACAGAATCCTCCTATGTCCACTATAAGATAAAAATATTGATCCCTTTTTTAAACATGAGGAAAGAGACTCATTGAGCTTAAGGGACTAAAGTCACACAGTTAGTATGTGGCAAATTCAGAACTAGAAACCAGATGTTTTAAACCCATTCCTCTTACCCTAATTCTACGACCTCTGAACTGAGAAAATGGCAGAACTTGGAGGTTAGCAATTTGTTCTTAACTTCTTCATGTCATCATCTCACACCTCCATGCCTACGCACAACCAAGGAACTTAACCAATGAAAAATCTATTTGGACAGAAAGGGAACTCTATTCATGAATCGTTTGCATATTATATATGAGGTGAAAAGAGAGAATTATATTATATGAATTTAACCTCCAAAGAGATGATAGGTGATAAATAATGGCAATTACCTTATGAACAAATATTGATTATCATAGTGATCAGAATACCTATATGGTATAAAATCTATCCTTGAGGTAGAGACATCTGTCACCACAATGTACCAGTCAGGACTCTTTTGGTTCCATCGTAACCAGCCTCCAAGACAGCCTCCAATAATCTTCACCTCTTAGTATTCATGTCCTTGTATAGTCCCCTCCCATACTGAATCAGAGCTAACCTATATGAACAATACAATACTGGAGAAGTGACAATGTGTGACTTCCAAGGCTAGGTCATAACAGACATTTGCTTCTCCCACCTTGGCCTCCTGGATTACTTGTTCTTGGGGAAGCCATCTGTCATGTCATATGAGCACAAGCAGCTCTGTGGAGAGGTCTGTGTGAAGAGTAAGTGAAACCTCCCACCAACAACCAGTACCAATGTGCCACCATGTGACACAGATCCTCCAGCCCCATTCCAGGCCTCGGGTGACTGTAGTGCCCACCAACATCTGAATGAACAAATCAATCCCAAGCCAAAATCACCCAGAAAATCTGCTCCTGAATTCCTGACCCACAGAAACTGGGTAATAAGATAATAAATGAGCATTGTTGTCTTCAGTCACCAATTTTTGTAGTAGTCTATCATTCGGCAATAGTTAACAATAAAGGCTGCAAGTGACAGAACCTTAATTTCAACTAGTTTTAAACAGTGTAAACTTTTAACCTATGTTCCTACAGGAAGGTTTGAGGGCATGTGGTTTCAAGGACAATGGAACCAGGGCCCCAAAAGATGCCAAAACACTTTTTCTTTATCTCTCATCTCTGCTTCTCTCTGCACATATTTTTAATTCTCTCAGACAGTCTTCTTCGATGTAACAGAAAACATGGCCACCAACATGATCAGGCAGTACATCTCACTTTCTCTCATCCCAAGTTCTAAAAGCTGGAAAGTGCTCCAAATGGCCAAGCACAAATCATATGTTTATCCTAAATCAAAGAATAGAGGCCAAGTTGATGAGATCCATAAGAATATGGCCATTTCCAGGCACCTGGTTGGCTCAGTCAGTTGAATGTCTGACTTTGGCTCAGGTCATGATCTCATGGTTTATGGGTTCAAGCCCCACATCGGGCTCTCTGCTGCCATCACAGAACCCACTTTGGATCCTCTGTCCCCCTGTCCCCCCCCCACTCTCTCTCTCTTTCAAAAATAAACATTAAAAAAAAAAGAATTTGTCCATTTCTATCCAAACCACATGATTAGGATGGGGCAGGGGGACATTTCTTAGAAGCAGAATAGGATAAGTACAGTTTTCCTTGGAGGAGAACAAGAGGCCTACTCACTACTCATTGTATGTTTGCATAGGAGCATGAGGACACGTCCATGGGTAACTAATTCTAATCCTCTGGTGACACTTGAAATCATTGTTTTCACATGTCTCTTTATCACCTGGCCATAAGGACAAGCTTCTCTCCTGCCAGGAAATCACATGAGCCAAATTTCCAAACAGAAATAAATCTTGGGGGCACCTGGGTGGCTCAGTTGGTTAAGTGTCTGACTCTTGATTTTGGCTCAGGTCATGATCTCACAGTTCATGAGATTGAGCTCCTCATTGGGCTCTGTGCTAACAGTGTAGAGCCTACTTGGGATACTCTTTCTCCCTCTCTCTCTGCCTCTCCTCCACTCATGTTCTCTCTCTCTCAAAATAAATAAATAAACATTTTCAAAGAGAGAAATGGAGAAAAAAAAAGGAAAAAGTATCCCAAAGAAGCCCAGTATTACAAAATACTTTAAAAAAAAGCTTTTCTGGAAAGCAGTGTGGAGGTTCCTCAGAAAATTAAAAATAGACCTACCCTATGACCCAGCAATAACACTGCTAGGAATTTACCCAAGGGATACAGGAGTACTGATGCATAGGGGCCCTTGTACCCCAATGTTTATAGCAGCACTCTCAACAATAGCCAAATTATGGAAAGAGACTAAATGCCCATCAACTGATGAATGGATAAAGAAATTGTGGTTTATATACACAATGGAGTACTACATGGCAACGAGAAAGAACGAAATATGGCCTTTTGTAGCAACGTGGATGGAACTGGAGAGTGTTATGCTAAGTGAAATAAGCCATACAGAGAAAGACAGATACCATATGGTTTCACTCTTATGTGGATCCTGAGAAACTTAACAGAAACCCATGGGGGACGGGAAGGAAAAAAAAAAAAAAGAGGTTAGAGTGGGAGAGAGCCAAAGCATAAGAGACTCTTAAAAACTGAGAACAAACTGAGGGTTGATGGGGGGTGGGAGGGAGGGGAGGGTGGGTGATGGGTATTGAGGAGGGCACCTTTTGGGATGAGCACTGGGTGTTGTATGGAAACCAATTTGACAATAAATTTCATATATTGAAAAAAAAATGCTTTTCCTAGAAACTAGGGCCTAGATGATGAGAACGAGGAAATTAATAATAGATATAGTCTAGCAAGCACATGTTAGGCACATGAGGTTCCTGGATAGCACTTAATTTGCCTCATGTCACACAGGTGATAAATGCCAAAGTTAAGACCACACCTAGGTCTGCCTCTCACCAAAGTCCAAGCTCTTAATCACTACACAAAACACCAGAGAAAGGATCATACAAGCTCAAGACTTACTCAAGTTCATGTTTAGCACCTAAGCTAAAGAGAGGGAGAGCAAGGCAGGCTCAGCTCAAGATTCATTCTCCTATAGATTCTGTATCTAGCTAGACCTCACCTCATCACTCCCCTGGGCTCCAGCTGGGAGAACCGAATTCCAGCCCAGTACTGCTGCTTTTGTCTAGGAAGCAAAGCAAGACCCAAGGCAAAGGTTTTCAGAATTTTGTCATAGCAAAATCTCTGCTTTTCATTGTCCTCAGAAATAAATATTGCTAAACCAGTTCCATCTTTAGGAGGTTCTCAGAGGCAGTTACATAAATTGAAAACCCATGTGACTTATTCCAGTTAGAAGTGGGCCACTCAGAACAAAAATGTTGAGCATTTTGCAATGGTCAGGGCAATCTGTAGATGAAGAGACCATGCCTATCGCATGCCATCTGTGTCTTGGGACAGTCGACATCACCATCACATGGTTTCTTCATCTGAAAAATGGGCATAAGTCATATATCACGTAGAGTGATGGTGAAAACCAAGTAAGGTACCATCTGTGAAAACACCCAGCATGGTACTTGATAAATATTGGTGGAATTTTTCTTTCATCAACAGGGCTTTGTTTTGTTCTGTGTGCCGGTGCACGAGACTTTTCTCCTCAAGATTATAAATCCCTTATGGCAGAGACGCTCTCATTGCTGTTCTGTACCCTACACATCACCTATGAGCAGGTAGTGTTTGATGTGCTAATGCAGTAGGCTCCACAGGGAGCAAATTAAACCAGCAGG